AGCGGCATGGTACCATTAGCAGTGTGGTACTGTTAGCAGTGTGGTACCATTAGCAGTGTGGTTCTGTTAGCAGCACAGTCTTATTAGCAGAGTGGTTCTGGTAGCAGTGAGGTTCTCTTAGCAGTGTGGCTCTGTTAGCGGCATGGTCTTGTTTGCTGTGCGGTCTTGTTAGCAGTGTGATTATAACAACGACTGTGGCAACAGATGACTGCCCTCCAGAACTGTGTTCAACAGATGCAGAACATCCAAAGTTTCCCCGCGGAAACTTGGGCCAGACATCAACTGTTAAAACGATTACTTCCAATTGAGTTTAAAATGCTTTGATTTACAGAATAACACCCAGTCAACCTAATAACACCCAGTCAACCTAATAACTGCAAGACTGCTAAAGTTAAACCACCAGCTCACCACCACTGTGCCCAATAGCTAGCATTAGTTGTTTTTCTTTTTTTTTTTTCTCTTCTTGTTAATCAGATGCGGTGTTATGAGTTTAGGCCAAACATTTCCACTTTGGTCCTGTCTTTCTGAAGAACATTTTCCTCACGCCTTCTGTTTGTTTATTTGTCTTGCAGGTTGATGTATGCAATAATCATATGCTCTATTCTTCTGCATAATTATTAACCAAAACTGATGTATGTTTTGATGTTTTTCAGATGGTCCGAGGCCAAACCATAAGGAGATGCTCTCCTTGCGAGCCTTTTTGCTGTTGTTTGTCAAGCAGCTCATAATCAAGGCAAGCTCAAAGCTCTTGTTCAAACATTTAAAACATAGTCTTACTTTTTTAGGAACCTTATCTAAAATATATGAAATACTATGTTAACTAAAATGCTATACTGTCATAGGTTGTGTTTTTTGTATTATGATGGTATTTACCAATATATAAATATATCCACTTGAAATGTATTTTCTTTTAAGATTTCCTGACTACAGAGTTATTTGTTTCAAAAAATAATCTTTAGAGGGCAGACCGTGTACTTAATATTAAGTTGAGGTGTGCCTTTGTGTTGCAGGATCATGGAGTGAAGGAAGATGAGCTGCAAAGTATTCTGAACTACCTCCTGACCATGCACGAGGTGGGCCTGTAAACTGATGCTCATGCACAACAACACATGGCCACCAGATGGCAACGCAATACTGCTACACTGTGTTTATTGCTCCTGACCTTTTAGACATTGTAAACATTTCATGATGGTAGAGACAGAAATACAGTTTTATTTTCCAGATCGACCAGTTTTCAAGCCTGACAGAAGTGTTTGTTTAACTTGAGGTTCTGTGTAGTAAATTAAACGGATCAGTTGGAGCGATGGTGACCTCAAAATCAGATTACAACCATAATTTGCGGTTCCTATTTTAGAGATTGCTCAACTATTGCTAGTGGTTTATGTATTTTTATCTCCATATCTGCAAATATCTGTGTGGTCATGTGTCCAAAATATTTGATTTACTTTATATAGAAGTTCAGTTCAGCTGAAAACTCATGGTTTAGTGTGCCACTATGAAAACTTGTCTCACTGCTGGACTGGTTTTGATCCCTTCAGCACCTTTAACATATTCTCCCCTGGTTTGACAGGATGAAAATCTCATGGATGTCCTGCAGTTGTTGGTTGCTCTAATGTCTGAGCATCCTGGCTCCATGATTCAAGCCTTTGACCAGCGCAACGGGATTCGGTAATTATTGTTTCAATTTTTTCATAACTGCTTGCTTATGCCTTCAGTGACAGTACAAATACATTGAAGCTTATATTTTTGCTAGTATACACAGTGTGATTAGGTTGAAATTGTGATAAAAATGTAATTTGTGACATGATGTTTGATTACAGTATTGTTGTTTTACCCACAGTGTGATCTACAAGCTTTTGGGCTCCCAAAACGAGGGAATAAGAGTCCAAACACTGAAGGTCATGGGCTATTTTCTTAAAAATCTATTACCAAAGTGAGTACCTCAATCCATTTTTTTATTATTATCTCAGGTTTTATTAACTATATACACTACAAATAAACAAAAAACCCAAACAAAACATACATGACAACAGGTTGACAACTGGCAGAAACGTCTGCTCAAATAATTGTTGAGCAGTTAAATAAAACGTTACAATATGAGTTAAAAGGGACAATTTACAGTGAAGAACTAGTCTTATGCTAAACATGAGCTAGACCTGAACTGATCTATTCAGATTTATATTTTAGTCATTCTAATCACTTGGTTGATTGGAAACCTCCAATTCTGCCTCATGTTTAAAAAAAACAACAAGGAATTACAATTATTTTCAGTCTGTGTCTGTTAAATTATTTAATGTTGCATTTCTGTTTTATTAATTTTAACTAGTTTGTGCTAGTGAAATGTTTTCCCACTGAGTCATATTTTAAACAAACTGCTCTTTACTGCCACGATCAGGAGAAAATCTGAGGTCATGCTGAGTCATGGTTTGTTCTCGCTGATGACTGAACGTCTGATGCTCCACTTTGGCCAGTTCACTATGACGACCTACAACGTGCTGTACGAGGTCAGTCTGCCCATGCTGCTTCTCGTCACGAAAGAACAGAATTGAAAATGTATATTTATACATTTATAATTTATAAAACACACATAAATGAACAACAATATGTTTTAATCGCTTCCTTGTTTTGTGTTTGTGTCCTGCTGAGTTAGTTGCCTATTCAAATTTAACATGAAGCAGCAGAAATCAAATGGGACACTAAAAAAAATTGACATTAACACATAAACATAGATTTGTATTTTCTCTGTTATTGTTCAGAGCAGCCTTTATGACTCTGTGTCCCCTGGTAGATTCTTACAGAGCAGATCTGCACTCAAGTGATCCATAAACAACATCCGGACCCCGACTCTACTGTGAAGATCCTCAACCCACGTAAGTGCTTCCCTTGCGCCACATTGCTCTCCTAAATCATCTGCTGCAGTGCACCCTCTGCATACCTTTAGCTACATGCTGCAGGAGGGTAATCCCTGTGGAACTGAGCACTCGCTGTTTACCTCACAGAAAAATAATTAAATAAATAAATAAATCAGCCACGCTGTCTGTATTCACTTCATACTCGATATGTTTCACATATTGAAGCTTAAATGAAAACATGACTTAAAACCACATTTATGGTGGATGTTTTTCTTCAGGATTATTTGCGTATAAAGCAAAAACAAAAAGATAGTCAATTGAGGTTGGCAATAAGATTGTTGAAGATTTAAACATCAACTTTGAATTCAGACAAACGTAGATAACTTGAGTCTTGTAAAATAGTTGCTAAAACTATAATAAACTTTACATTTATTTTGTCATGGAATCAGTTGTATGTGTGATGAAAAACTATTACTTTATTATTTCACTGATGCCAGGGCTTAATTTGAACCGGATCCTGTTCCGACAGGATCCGGTAACTCTCAGATTTACTAATAATAAAGTTATGAACAAATTTGGTTGCCTTGAACGAATAAAACCTGTATTGGATATGCAATCTGAAAATAATTACATAAACACTAATTTTAAACATAACAAGCTTCCTAATATCATATACGATTTGCCCTTTCAAGTAAGCATTTCTGCTTCTACCCTTGTAAAAAATTTCTGCCCCTAAAAGTACAGTCATGGGCAATTTAATTAAAAAAACACAAAAAATATAATTAAATGGCACAAATAAATTGCAAATCAGTTTTACAGTTTAAGTGGGGCATTAATAAAATTTTGATTATTTATAAAAAATACGAGAGAATTGTTTGATGGGAAATCATGTTACGTACATCACGTATGAAAAAACGGCACCAATTGTCAAAATAACAGCGATCAAAATGTCTAAAAGACAGTCCAATTTACTTTCATAAAAAAAATGTCTTCTCGTACATCTAAACAACTGAGAACTGAAGCACATGAAGGCAGTGGCAATGGAGAAAGTACTCAACGCGCACGAGGGTGCGGGGGGTTAGGATGCTTGTTTATTCACACAAGGGGAGCTGTTGGTCAGGCTACTTCTTGTTGCTCTCTAAAATAGTTACTGAATCATGTGTTTACTTATGTAGGTAAACATGGATGTTTAATAACTCGTGAAAATACACCAGAATGCAGGAAATGGCATTCTACTTTATTCAAAATTTTCTGGGGGAGGATCCTCAAGATCCCCCTTCCCCCGACGATTTGTGTTCTGACATCGTTTGGTACTGACAGTTACTAACGTTAACAATTACTTTTATATGCCAATATTTGATACATATTAATTGGAAAAAAAAACTGGGCATACAATCGTGTATTTGTATGAAATGATATACATTGTTTGACTATCCAAACACACAGTCTGCAAACTTTTAGCAACATTTCAAACTGGTGCATGCCGGTTTTACTTTCAGACGTGGCAACAAAACTTTCACAAACGATAACCTCGGTTTTTGTTGACATCCCATGTTTTGATGCTATAGCTTGGGTCCAATTTCACATCCCGCCAACAGATTTTTTTTCTCCCCATGTTGCCATTTTCAGTATTGTCAAATAAGAAAACTTTCTTCTACTGTTGCTTCCAGACGTGCACATGTGCAGAACGGCTTTAATCAGTTTGAAATTCAAGAGCTTGCTGTAATCACAACCAAGGTTTACTTCCAACCAGCCTTAATCTGACAAGGTCTCGCTGCAGTCACACACTGATTATCTCGAGCCTTTATTGTGTTAAAAACGTTCCTACCCAACCATCCCAGACAGGCGGTGTATGTATACATCATAGAGTAGGGGTTTGTGAATGTGTGCGCGTGCTATGGAACACAGGACTGTGGTCTGTTTCTCCTTTGCTGTGTATTCTCTTGATTTAATCTGTGACAAACTCTCAAAATGGCCCCCTGATTGCAGTCTTTAGTAACGTCAGAGCCAATCAAACAAACCGAGGAAGTAGCGTTTCCCTCAAATTAACTTTGGGGGGGAAAAGAACCAAGAGCAAATGGAGGGGAAAAAAAAAAGACTGGAATAGGCCATCCCTCCAGCCTCATACCCTGTACATGCTGGGGTAATTTTCTGGCGGTAAAGGTTCAGTGACTCATAATTTGAGTGACTAAGGCATAGAAACAACACAACTGTCTGCTGGGGCACAAGGGGAGGGGGGCGGGCGGCATCGGTTAGCACCAAGATCTGAAAAGACGAGAGAAACCCAAACCTCACCATCTCTCAACTCTCCAAGCAAATGCACACCGACACCGTCTAGATAATTCATCTAAACAGTCAGTCTCTTTGGTTTAACAAAGGCCAAGCCGTTCACAAGTGTCTGCAGCTCTGGCTCGCTCGTTTGAAACCGTACCAAAACCATTACCGCGGGATGAAGACCAGTATCTTGAGCTTTTTATTTTGTGAATGTTTATGAAGCATTCACACTATTGTGATCCATTTTTATTCTGTAGGTTTTTCAGCAGCTTTCTCGTTCCACAATTTTTGTGCTATTTCAACAAATCGTACATCAAAACGTTGAGCTTGTTTAGGAAAAGGGTGCTGTGACTTTTATCGCAACTTTAGCTTTTTGAAAAATTTAGTCTTTTCTGCCTTTTTTTCCTCACAGAAAATGACTTGAGCTCATTTTACATCCTTCAAATCTTTAGATCTGTTCACAAACTTTTACTGCTTCTTTCACATTTTGTTCTGCTTCAGCTTCTTTCAGCTACTTTGTGCAAATTAAATTTTTTTTCAGCTAATTTCAGCTGTTTTGTGCTTCTTTTAGATTCTTTCTGCCAACTACAGCATGTTTGTGCTTCTTCCAACTTCTGATAATTTCAGTTTATGCTCCTTTCAGCTTATTTATGCAAGTTTCAGCTTTTTCTGCTATTTCAGCTACTATTTACCTGTTTTTATGCTAATTTTAGCGTTTTTGGCTAATTCCACATTTTTGTCACCCATTTCAACTTTTTTCAGCCTAATTTAACAAAATGTACACTCTTCACTTTTTTCTAGTAATTTAAGGCATTTTCTGATGTTTTAGCTACTTTTCAGCTGTGCTTGGCTAATTTGAACTTTTTTCAGATAATTTCCACGTCTTTGTGCTCATTTGTTTTTTTAGCTTAATTGAGCAAACATATTATTTCAGCTTTCTTCTGCTAATTTAAGCTTGTTAAAAAATTTCAACTAGCTTTTCAGGAAATTTCAGCTGTTTTCAGAAAACAAGTTTTTCATGGTAATTTCTTCTTTCAGCCCAATTAACCTCTTTATGCAAATTTCAGCTTTTTTTCTGCTGGTTGCAGCTTTTTCTGCTCTTTCAGCTACTGTTTAGCTCTTTTGATGCTACTTTCAACTGTTTCAGCCAATTCCACATTATTTTTAGCTCATTTCATCTCTTTCCACATCCTTCTGGTAGTTTAAGCTTCTTTTTGCCTTTTCAGATATATATTTTTTGCTGATTTCAATTTTTGTAGCTAATTTCCTAGTTTTTGTGCTAATTTCAGCTTATTTCAATCTAATTCAGCAAATATGTCTTCTTTTTGCTTTCTTCTGCCAATTTAGGCTTGTTCTTCCTGTTCAGCTACATTTCAAATGTTTTTTTTTTTAGCTAATTTCAGCTGTTTTTCAACAAGTTCTTCACTGAATTTTCGCATGAAATGCCATTTCTCTAGTTATTTTCGATGGCCTGTGACAGTGATTTGCACGTGATGAAACCAACGTATGGTTTAGTTTGGGATTTGTGTATTAAACACCCAATGATTCAAGAGTTAAACATTTTTAATAATAGAGTACAAAATGGGAAAAGCAGACAAAGCAGATATTTTTCAGGCTTTAGTTTTCCCTCTCTTTTTGCAAACATTTGTACCTCCGTCTGTAAAGACATTTTATTTTTCTGTTTCAGAAATTCTGAAGGTAATCGCTGCCCTCGTGAAGAACTCTCCCTCCTCCCCTGAAAGCATGGAGGTGCGCAGGGCCTTTCTGTCAGACATGATCAAACTGTTCAATAACAGTCGGGAGAACCGCAGGTAAGAATAAGCATTTCTTTGGACAGAGAGGTGCTTCTCTCAGGAATCGGGGCACTTGATGATTACTTTCAGCCTCGCACCACCACATCACAGCCGTGCATCTTATTGTTTCAGGAGCCTGCTGCAGTGCTCAGTGTGGCAGGAGTGGATGCTCTCTCTGTGCTTTGTCAACCCGCGCAACAGTGAGGAGCAGAAAATCACAGAGATGGTGTACGCCATCTTCCGCATCCTGCTCTACCACGCCATCAAATACGAGTGGGGCGGTTGGCGTGTCTGGGTGGACACCCTGTCCATCACCCACTCCAAGGTCAGAGCGCTCATTATTCCCACACACTCCTCAAATACACAAAAACCTCATGAACATTTTTTTAAAGGGAGACCTATTTTAGTGGCCAGACTTTGCTCCTCTTTGCTTTACCTCACTCGCACAATGTTTTTGTACACACTCAAGAGTGGACACGCACACACACACACTCACACACTGGCATCTTATTGTAAGATTTTCAACCTAAACACAGGAAGCTGTTTTTTAGTCAAATCCATCAGCTCTGCCACCCATATTTTTATCTCTGAAGCCGACAAAATCCAATTCATTAAAACAGAAAGCTACGCAGTAAAATTGCGTAGCTTTTTAACTTTCAGTGTAGACTAGACATTGCAACTAAAGCATGCTTTTCCTTGCCCATCAGATTAAAGTATGGAAGCCGTACGGGGATTATAATTTAAAGCTAGTTGCAGCATGAACCAGTTGGAATGAATCCTTTCAGTGCTTTCTTTTATTTATGTAAAGAGTCTCTTTCTTTCACACTGAACAGATAAAAATAAACTTCTGGCACTTGTTATTTCCAAAAGCCAAATTCTACATGCTGCTTTAGAAATTCATTGTTGATATCAAATTACACGAGCTTGTTCCAGAGCAGTGAAATAATTGAGGTTGGTGTCAGATTGTGGTCTGGGGGCTTTTTAAGCCTGGCAGATTGAAAGGAGAGTTAAAGAAGTGCATGTGATATGAGACTGCCACAGTAGAATGTGGCGCTGTGAGAGCTCCGTCCAACAGGGGGCACAGACAGACTTCCATGGAGGAAAGCTGTGTGTGTGTGTGTGTGTGTGTGTGTGTGTGTGCACGTGTGTCTCTGTGCTTGTGTTCTGAAATTCTTCATTCCTTCCAACAATGTAGAGCAGAGAATACAAGAAAGCACAAAGAAGGGGACAAATAGGTTCTTAAATTCTTATAGAATTATTTTCTTCAAAGGCAACACAGTTGTTTGTGTTGTAATTTACTTAAATAATTTTAAAATAATTAAAAAATGTGTGTTTTGCTGGACAATGAGAAGAAAATACAGGTGTAAACGTGTTTGTACTTTGAAATTTTGACCATTTTTGGGTAAATGTTTCCACGAGAGATTTGCCTCGAGTTCTAGTTTTGCAGCAAAATTAATTTATTTCCAAAAGTCATTCAGAAACTGTCCTTTGTTCTTAAATGACTTTAATAGTGTGAATATTTATGAAGCATTCATTCACACCACTCTGATCCATTTTTCTTTCGTACATTTTTCGGAGTGATTCTCGTCCCACAGTTTTCAAGCTATTTCAACAAATCATCTGTCAAAACGTTCAGCGTGTTCAGGAGAAAGGTGCTATGGGTTTAGGTATTGGTGCAGCTTTAGCTTTTTTGAAATATTTAGCCTTTTCTGCCATTTTTTCTTATAGAAAATTAATTGAGCTCATTTTCCATCCTTCAAATCTTTAGATCCGTTTACAACCTTTTACTGCACCTTTCACATTTTGTCCTATTTCAGCTTCTTTCAGCTTACTTGTGCAAATTTAAACTTTTTTCAGCTACTTTCAGCTGTTTTGTGCTCCTTTCAGAGTCTTTCTGCTAACCACAACATTTTTGTGCTTCTTCTAACTTCTTTCTGCTTATTATACTCATTTCAGCTTATTTCTGCAAGTTTCAGATTTTACTACCATTTCAGCTGTTTTATGTAAATTTAAGCTTTTTCAGCTAATTCCAGTTTTTTTACACATTTCAACTTTTTCAGCTTAATTCAGCAATAATGTGCACTCCATTCTTGTAATTTCAGCTTCTTTGTGCCTTTTTAGCTACTTTTTGGCTTTTTTTTTTTTTGCCCATTTCAGCTTTTTTTCTGGTAATTTCCACTTTTTGTGCTCATTTCTGCTTATTTCAGCAAACCTATTCTTTCTGGTTTCTTCAACTAATTTAAGCTCGTTTTGCCTTTTCAGCTACCTTTTTTTAGTTTTTTCATCTTATTTGAGCTGTTTTCAGATAAAGTCAAGCTTTTCACAGTAATTTTTGCTGCTTTCAGCCTAATTAATTTATTTCGGCTAATTTCAGTTTATATTCCTTTCAGCTTTTTTTTGGCTAGTTTCAGGTTTGTCTGCAATCTCAGCTACTTTTTAGCTGTTTTGTGCTAAATTGAGCCTTTTCAGCTAATTCCACTTTTTAGCTCATTTCAGCTTTTTCCGCTTCCTTCTAGTTCTTTAAGCTTCCTTCTGTCTTTTCAGCTACTTTTCAGGTATCAGCTTTTTTATCAAATTTCCTAGTTTTTGTGCTAATTTCTGCTTATTTAAACCTTATTCCTCAAATATGTGTTATTTCTTCCTTCTTCTGCTAACTTAGGCTTGTTCTTCCTGTTCAGCTACAATTCAGCATGTTTTTATAGCTAATTTTAGCTGTTTTTCAGCAAGTTCTTCTGCAGTTAGCATTCACACTACATTTTTGCAGGAAATCCAGTTTCTTTAGTTGACTTTTCCTTCCTATAATTGCACAAGCTTAATTCTATTTTCTTCTTGGCTCCATTTAAAAATGCAATCTAAAAGAATTGTTCTCATGTGTGTGCGTGTGTGTAAATTAACTTATACCTTTTTGCTTTGCAACAAATACACACAAACGCACACGGCACATGAAGCCACCTGTGAACTGGAGAGCTGCAGTGAGCATTAGCCACCAAGATGCATGCATCTGCTATAAAAAAAAAGCTAAAGAAACTCAATTGCAATTTTATTGTCCCGTTTGATAGATTTGCTGCCAACTTTGCAGCACCGGAGCTGTTCGTCACTGTTGCTCTCTCCTCCCACTGCTGCAGGGCCATGCATTTGTGTGTGCCTTTGATGGTGCACGTGTGTCTGTGTTTGGGTGATTGTGAGCCACAGCTGCAATTTCTTTTTGCCCTTCTCTCTAGGGTTTCTAGCAAGTCCTTCTTTCTGGGCATACTGAATATTCATTGGTGCCATGAAAGAGCAATCGGAGAAACAAATGCTCAGATACGATCACCCCACTGGGAGCCTCTTGAAATGAAAAGCAAATATGCTTTCACCTATACATACTTGCACACCATGCACACGCACCGAACAAGTGGACTGCCGCCCTTCTAAAACAACTTCCATCAACCAAAAATTTCATAGCGGTTAATTTAAACACGATTTCATAAACCCTTACATTGCTGTCCATTTTACATAAAATTGTTATTACAACAAAAATATTGTGCCTATACAGCCTGAGGTGCCACAATTAGCTGGTGACTCTTATTTTTTTGTTGAAAATAAGTATAAAATTTAATATAAACCATGTACATTGAAGGGAATGCAAAGGTTTCTAAAACGCTGAACCTCTATGAAATCTGAGGTTGTGGTTCTTTTAAACAGCAGCAATTCACTTTGGTCTTGGACGCACTCAGACTAGCGGTTAGCTCATCAATCCACCAGATCTAATTTCTTTTTCTCCAAGAGCCATCTACGACAGGTAAGGTATTAAAAATTCATAACCTTTTCACAGAACCCCACTTCAAAAGATCTGAACACCTCCAGTCCTCAGAATAACAGTATGTGTACTGCTTTCATATAGTAGGCAACATTCTGTGTAAAAAAACAAACGACAAAAACAAACAAAAAAAAAACCTGATTATAATTCTGAGAATCTTGCTCTTTTGTGCATCTTTAAGAACAACAATGAAGCATTATCAGCATCATCAAATTGTCAATTTTAATCTGACTTCTTAATGGATAAAATATGTCTAAGATGAATACGTATAAACATTTAAGTTGTTTTAAACATATTTGTGTGTTTTTCTGAATCATTAATAGTAAAGTGCATTGGCATGCATGTCTTGTGGATAGGCAGATGTTCCTGCAGGTGGGCAGTGTGACACAACAGCCCTCCCACTCAGTCTCCACATCCCTTCCAAGGTGCCCCATGACCATCTATGAACACAGATCAGTCTGAGATGAAGGACCTTTCCAAAAGAAAGAGTCTGATGTGTGAAGGTCCCAGTGCCCTTCACTGTCCTGTAGATGGGTAGCTTCATTACATGTGTCGGGCACCCCAGAGATGAAGAAGCATGGAAATGAGCACACCCACCTTTGGCAAAATATAATGTATATGAAAGTAATTTTAACAATTCCATCCATTAATTCATGATAAAGTATTTTTGAGATATTACAAGAACAAGCAGTTTTCTTTACAAGGAGTTTAAGGTTGAAGCATTGCTGAGTAGATGTGCAAGGAAAAAACAAACAAAAAGTCTTTATAATATACAGACTGAAGCATTGGCTTTCAGCTCCTAATGACTTCTGTTGTTTCTTCTCCGGCAGCTCTGGAACAAAGAACCACTTTCATCTTGACCCACAGGCAGGATTATAGATCAAGAACGTATTAAGAGCGTCACATTTAAAAACGTGGTATTGTAACAAGATTTTCACATCTGTTTGCAGGGATAATGAGACTTGCCCTGTTTTAGGTCTAGATCATTTCTCTCTCTGCACCGTGATCCTCTACAGAAATTCAGAACACAACAGAGATTAAATGATGATTTAAGAGCATTCTGTAATGATGTGAGTCCACGATGGCTCGCTGGATGTGGAAAAAGTAAACTGGTTCCTAACAGTGTTTTGTTTAAGCAGTAGGCCTGGTCTGCTCTAAAAACTGCTTTGGTGGAAAAACCATAAGAGTTTTGAGCAGATCGCCATCCTGTATTATTCCCAGACTACAACCTAAAAAGAGCTGATGGGATCTGTAGGCCACGAAAAACCCCACCTTAAAATCCACAGGGTCAGAACAATATACTGACCAACACTTTGAGGATACATTTACAGTTTTTTCTGCCGTATAAGTCACATCAGTCCAAAAATGCTTAATAAAGTGGAAAAAACAAATAAGTTGCTTCGCCATATAAGATGCATCTATTATGCATCACCACTGATGGGTAGCCTTTGATATGCGTTACCTCTGACAACCTGAAACATGGGCTGATGTTGTGCCAAAAATCGATTGGCTGCCAAAATGGTGGCTGCGGGAGTGTGCACGGGAGGACTTTAACAAGAATTTAACAAGATTCAATCAACCTTTATTTATACAGGTAAATCCCATTGAGCCTCGAGGACTCATTTACAAGAGAGACCTGATTTCAACAAAGAAAGATGACAACAATGGACAACAGCAACAACAATAAACAATTCTAAAAAGTCATACTGCAGTTTTTTTTTTTTTTTACAGATAGGATGGCTAAAAGGAAAAGGTAACAAAAAAACATCTAGATTCTAAGGCAAATGTAGAAAACTAAAAACAGGAACATGTCTGCATTGGTCCCTGCCAGGAGTCCAACAGATTCTTAAATTAATACTTCTTAGATTGACACTTAAAAACAATTATTTGTTTGGTCGAAATTATATCAAAGTTGTTTCTCAGGTGAACTTGTCCTTAATGAACTTTAATGGTCAAATCAGCTGCATTTCGCCTGGGCGGCGTGGCGAAATACAGTGATTTGACGTTTGCTCCAGGAGTTTCAGAGTGAGACGAAGGTGGCTTGGTATGGCAAGCCAAGTGTCTCATTAATAGCCACTTTTACCTATTAATGTGACGCTTGGCTTGCCATAAGGCTTGAGGGCCCTATAGCGTCTGCACATGGTAATGTTTAATATTTTCCATGTCAGAATGAATGAAATCGTCAGATCTCAGCCAAAAGTTGAGTAATAAATGTGGGGAAAAAACATATATTAGTCGCTTTGGTGTATAAGTCACAGGCCTTGCAAATTTATGCAAAAAGGTGCGACTTATATGGTGAAAAATATGGTACATGTTTTTAGTCCATGTCCTGTTTATTCAGAATTACTTTTTTGGTAGAATGAACCATGTGGTGAAAATGTTGCCAAAGTCATTATAAATCTATAAATGTTACTATGAGTAAATATGCACATTACAGGAACATGAGAGCTGAAGGACACTAGGAAGAAAAATGCTTTAAAAATAAGTAATTATGGATGGTATTGTGAACACGAGTGAAATTGCATTACTAGAAAAATTGTAAGTTTACATAGATTCTGAGGAAGAATTTGCATTTATCCATTTTGGAATAGGAGTGTACTACCATCTGCTTTCTATTTGGTTTTATAGTTTTAGGTATGTCCAAGCTCAAAGACTGACAAAATTAGCATTTTGTGTAAATACACATCTTATTGCAGCTGGGATTTCTGTGCGCATCTTAGTATATTTGTTTCCCCCACCCAAAACAAAAAGAAAAAAAATCTAAGCTACATTTTCTATTGCTACATTATTTATTCTATCGCAATGGACTTTTACAAGAAGAGTTTGAGGCTTTTTTTTTGTATGATCTGGCCTTGTTGCACCCAGTTAATGCATGTTACCTGTCACATTAGAAAAGCCCACCATGTTATTCTACATCACCATAACATTTTTCCATAACCCACTAAGGCTAGGTCGAGTTATTGAGCAGCCTGAAATGAGATTAGGTCAGTACTGATGTGTAAGACACCAGTGGCAGTTTCTATATATTGTAGCAAGCCTAAATGCTCTTTTAAAAACCACAGAGACATATACTACCTCTGTCTAATGGTAACTGGATCTGTTACAGAGCCCCATTTAAGACCAGCATACATCATCCTAATGTACAGACGGCATCCTTAATCTATGATGTTATGTGCTTCACCACTTTTCTGCATAATGTCTGTAGCAGTACACCCCTAATGCAGCCTTTTAATTGCTAAAAATGATAAATGTCAAATTAAGCTCAAACTAATGGGCTAGAAGGTCTTGCTGGGTGATCACTGGGAAAAAAAGGGAGGAAGAGAGAAAGAGACGGACCACTGGCACATTTAGAGCAGACTGTGCACTCAAAACGGCTATGGATTACCAGTCACTGCTTCCCACTACGCAAGATTAATGAGCACCCGTGTAGCAGGCTAATTTAGAACAATAACGCCTAATTAATTACAAATAATCAGCTTCTTTCTCCCTCTTTCCTTTCTTCCTCTCTCAATTACTCTTTCTTTCTTCTCCTTTGCAATTTATTTTTTTCCACCCCTTTTCATCTTCAGCTTTCTCATTTTCTTTGTTTCATTCTCACTCGTTCTCTTTTACTTCCTCCTTCTGTCCAAATAGCCTCAGGTGAAAAATCAGCAAAGTAGGTCTAGTTTCTTCTACCCCCTTGCCTTTCCGCCACAGACCTATCTTTGACTCTGTCTTTCAAGGCCAGTGATTAATGCAGGGTCTTAAATTAGGCGTGGGAGGATTTGCCAATGCTAGACACGCACTCAGCACAGCTAAAAGACACTAACTAATAGTATCTGCTGCTAATCTATGACTGCTTACATGGATGGGCTCTTCCTCAAATGCCACTGCAAACCATTGTCAGTATAGACTAGCAGTCTAGTCTACCCCCTATCAGATGAGAAGAAGACTGATAGAGGTTAATAGGCCTTGAGCAGCTGCATAAGGAAGGATAAGTTTTAAACATGGCCCAGTTATCCACAAACAGCCCTAGTGGTAAGATGTAATAAGCTTGCAAATGAAAAGGCATTCTGAAAATATTTTGGATACAGGCAATTACTTGTACTTGCCTAAAAGTAAAGTACATTAGTACTCCACCTAAAAACATCCTAACGTTACAGGTTTATTTGTCATATGCAAATCAACACGTCATCAATGCAATGTAATGCTCAGGATGAGAAGAATCATCTCGACGTGCCAAAACAACAACAACAAAAGCATTTAACAAAAATACAAAAACAAGGTGCTAAAAGTGAAAAAGAAAGAAATGCATCTACTGCAGCATGGTCCCATTGGCAGTGTAGTTCGATTAGCAGTGAGGTTCTTTTAGCAGTATGGTACGGTTAGTAGTGTGTTTCTGTTAGCGATGTGGTCTTGTTAGCATCGTTAGCTGCTGTTGTTACGATTGTTATGATTGTTACGGATAACAGACTTTAAGCTATTTCCAGTTTGGACAGCAGCAAAGCTGAGTGAAGCTGACACCCCACCCACTTCCAAAATTAAAGCAACTAGTCTGAATGGTTAGTGCTCCGTTAGTGCTGGTTTGTGCCGTTAAAATTTTCGTTAGTGCTGCTTTGCTTTCTGAGATATTAAAGATTAATTTTTAGC